ACATTGGGCTTACTATTCTCATATTCAACCCATGCATTAATTTTTTATATACCACTCGTACGCTTATTCACCCAACTAAAGCAACCCAATTACATTGCTGGACAGTAACCTAACATATGTAGGAAAATTTAATCACAACCCACAACTGTACCACAAAACATTTCAAGTTTAAGAATTAACACACTACTTTCACACCTCAAATACCTCACATATGTCCATAGACCAGCCTGCTTTAATATAAGGGTTAGCCCAATAGTTTCACATAGCACCATAATCACACGGTTTCAACAATGTGTAACGGTTAAGCTATCAACGTGAGCTGATCACCATCATTATACAATCCAACTTTGATGTCTCGTTCCTATATCATCACACAATAAAGAATTGAACCTCAAACTCAATGTGTTTGTCTAAATCACATATCCAACTAATCCAATAAGTTGCGGATCAACTAACTCAGTCATACACAAATTCGAACTCATCTCTCCAATCCTCATTTATATATTCAACAGTCATGTGCTCAAATAGTCCACCTAATACACATTGGTTTCCTACTGAAACTGATAGCCTTGTTCTTTAAACCTCATTTGCTGACAACTAGCAGATAAGCAATTTAAGTCTCAAAAAAATTAATACCTAGTACTTCCTATCACTGTGCTACCCCAAACTCACGAGGTTGCTCATTCTCATAAGGTTCACTTGGCAGAACAATACCACTTTAATTCAGTATTCTCAGTCAACCCTTTTTATCAGCTCAAGTTCGTGTTTTTTTTAACATACAAGGACAACAACAACACTTGGTTTTAAAAGAAGACAAAAGAACTCCTATGTATTATCTAAAAAAAAATCGAAACTCACTAGTAACAAGCTAAAACCTATGTAGAAAATTAAAATTAAACACTCTTCAAATTTAGAATAATTTGCCCTGTATCTAACCATTTGATTATTTTCTTTTGCATTATTTCCTTCATGGTTAGACTAAGTCTTCTCAGTTGATATAAGAAGCTGTAGCTCAGATTTTTCTCAAGAAATTTTAATGGTTCAAATTTCTTGTCTCCAAAGAATTTGGGTGGTGGGGACACAAAGGCTGACACAAGTTCACTTTCATTTTGCTTTTCCTCCACATGTTTGAGGCTGCCCATTTCTAAATTGCTAATTTCACTATTTAAAAGCAAGTTGTGAGCAACCAAATGATCATAAAATGAAATAGCAGAATAGTCATTAACATCTTCATCAGTGACATTTATTGTTTTTAAAACATTAAAAGTCATCTTTTCCTCATTAACTCTCATGGTCAATTTTCCTTTTTCAACATCAATTATAGCATCCTCTTTAACTAAGAATGGCCTATCCAATATAATGGGCACATCCTTGTCAGCTTCAAAATCAACTATCATGAAATCTGTTGGAAAAATAAACCTATAAACTTTCACTAATTTGTTCTCTATTTTTCCATCAGGGACAATATTCGTTTCTTCTATTGCACATGAAATTAAAGAAGAACCTGGATTTTTCAGCTTGGATGAAAAATTGTTGGAGAGATAGTGCTCTTGTTGCTGCTCTTGGAGTCTCTGAGGAAATGGGATCTGTATTGCCTTTGATATAGGTTGATGAACTTCAATGTTTTGCATTAGCTTGTCTGATTCGTTTGATTTCAATGCTGCCCACACTGGTTCAGTTGTAGTTTCCTTCTCATCATCTTTGTCTTGAGGTGAGGATTGAGTGGTTGATGGTTGGGCTGTAACAATGTTATCCACTTGCTGCCCATTCCTCAAGTGGAGGGCTTTGCACACTTCTTTTCCATCCCTTTTAGGTATTTCTGTGTCACTTGGTAGTGTCTCCAAAGGTCTACAACTAAGGGCAGAAGCAATCTGCCCCATTTGTATCTCAAGGCTCTTCAAGATAGCTCCATGACTTTGAAGCATAGCTTCATGGTTTTCTAGCATTTGATTCATCCACTGCTCATTTGGAGGTTGAGCTTCTGCAACATGTTGTTCTAGCTGTTCAACAAAAGGAGGAAGCATAAAACAAGGTGAAAAAGGCTCTTCTGCTTCAAATGACTGATGCCATCCATGATAAGGCTGCTGGTATTGGTAATTTTGGCCTTGATTTTGGGCAAAATTACATTCTTGGTTCTGCCATCCTTGCTGATCAAATTGGTTGTGGTTGATAAAATTGTAGTTGAAGTCTCCCACATAAAGAACAGATGTTAGGTTGCTGGGGCATTCTTCAAAGGCATGAGCACCATAGCAAAGTGAGCATATAGGTGTTATAGCAACTATTGGAGTAGGTGCTGGTTGCTTGGATTCTTCCATAACCATGACCAAATCCTTCATTGTGTTATGCAAAGCTGCGAGTTGAGCTGCCAATGCCATTGTGATCCCCCTGTAAAGTGTTTAACAACCAAACTTTTTTTTTTTTTTAGATTTGGCAGAATTCTAAGTGTATCAATTTGTTTTCACAGTAAAAATTATTGATCTGCAAAATCTACAAGGAAAATGTAAGTTCAAGAAAAATTAAAAATGAAAATGAAAGAAAACCAATTCAAGAACTAAAAGACAGAATTTTCAAAAAGAAACTAAATCAAACACCGTTCCCCGGCAACGGCGCCATTTTGTTGGGTAGTAATTTTTCGAAAGAAAGAGTTATCGTTCTCAGGGAACGGTTTGTTTAGTTTTCCTTTTTTAATTCCTATTTCTAATTTCTTGAAATTAAGTGATCAATCTTTTAAAACTAAGAAAAGACTAAATCAAACAAGGTATTTATCAGATTTGTATTAAACAAAATTTTACAGAGGGATATCGATTCACAAATGTAACAATTATAAGGTTCTGGAATTCTTTGAATCATGGATGAAGGAAAAATTTCGCATTCCTGCGTTTTATAACTGCTACGGCACTTTAGTATCAGAATTCGAATTACTATGGCTATTTTATCTGAAACTTCCCAGTTCCAGATTTTAATCTTTAGAAGGATCTTTTCCCAAAGTCTTCTAAATCTTTAAAAATTGTATCAAAGACCTCCTTGGGTTATCCCTAACCTCAAGGGTTCAATTAACAAGGGTCATAACCTGATTTCCCAATCACAATTATGCAAAATATATTCAAGATCCATTCCCATGGTGTTCTTGAACTTAAAATCAAAATCTTGCTAATCAAATGAAACTAAAGCAAACCATCACAGTATTCAGAAAAATAAAAGATCACCCAATCATCGTGAATCCCAGAAAAAGAAACTTAGAAATTCATATTAACAAATGAAAAGCTTAGAAAAGGAAAATGAAGAACCAAAGCTTGCATGTAGCTGAGTCTTGGATCCCTCCAAGAAAGAAGTTTCACGCTTGCTCTTGATTTGAGAATTTGAAGAACAAAGACTCGAACTTAACAAAAAGTAAAGAGCAGAAAAGAAATTCTGGAATTGAGAACTAAAACTTTACAGGAGAGTGCTTAGTCTATATCTCTGTATCTAAGACTCCTATTTAAAACTAAAAATAACCATTGATCCAAAGTTTCATTGTTGTTCATCCATGCCTGTCCTCATCCAACGGTCCATCTCTCTTTTTTTTTTCACTTCCAAAAAGTAACTCATATGGCTCTCTAACTGCAGTAAAAATAGTAAAAGAGGATAGTAAATCATCAAATTATCTCTTTCTCTCTCTTTTACCTTATTGGGCTGATTGGTACTCATTTGGCCCATTACTTTGCACTTATAACTAGTCTTTAGCTCAAATATTGTAAAAACAAAGCCATTAAAATAATCATAATTTATAGCTAACACCTACGGGAGTCTTTAAGTTCTCCCGAACTTCCACATCATCCGGTTGCACCACGTGCGACGGATCTGCTATGTACCTCCGAAGCTGAGACACGTGAAACACGTCGTGGATGTTGGCCAGGTTCGGAGGCAAGGAAAGCCAGTAGGCAACAGGTCCTACTCTACCAAGAATCTGGTATGGCCCAATAAACCGCGGGCTCAGCTTCCTCACTCCGAGTGCCCGTCCAACACCGGTGACAGGTGAAAGTCTCACAAACACGTGCTCACCCTCACTGAACTCCAGTGGTCGATGCTTGACATCGTAGTAGCTCTTCTGACGATTCTGCGCCTGCTTCAGCTTTTCCCTGATCATCTGGATCTGCAGGGTGGTATCTTGGACAAAGTCCAAGCCAAACAACTCACAATCCCCAACCTCCGACCAGCAGGTAGGTGTACGACACCTCCTACCGTAGAGCGCCTCGTAAGGTGCCATGCCCAGGCTAGCATGAAAACTGTTGTTATACGAAAACTCTACCAATGGAAGGTACCTATCCCATGCTGAGCCCTGCTCCAACGTGCAAGCCCGTAACATGTCCTCCAAGGTCTGGATAGTCCGCTCAGTCTGTCCATCAGTCTGAGGGTGATAGGCGGTACTCAATCTCAACTGTGTACCAAAAGCTCCTTGCAGCGCCTCCCAGAACCGAGATATGAACTTCGGGTCCCTATCACTGATGATACTCACGGGCACCCCGTGAAGCCTCACAATCTCGCGAACATACAGTTTGGCCAACTGCTCTGTATTGAAGCTCACCTTCACTGGAAGAAAATGGGCAGACTTCGTCAGTCTGTCCACAATGACCCATATCGAGTCACAGCCAACCTGAGTCTTCGGCAGACCCACAACGAAGTCCATGGAAATGCTCTCTCATTTCCACTCTGGAATCTCAAGAGGTTGAAGTTTACCAGACGGCTTCTGGTGTTCAATCTTCACCTTCTGGCAAACCAAACACTTGGACACAAAGATAACAACATCTTTCTTCATGCCCGGCCACCAGAAGTTCTTCTCCAAGTCTTGATACATCTTAGTAGCAGCAAGGTGGATAGAAAACTGACCCTTATGGCCTTCTGCCATAACCTCTTCTGTCAACGGACCTCGAGGAACCACAATCCTCCGCTGGAACAAACGTAATCCATCATCATTCCAAGACACACCGTCTTGGTTCTTCACATAATCCAGACACTCTCTCTGAACTTGTGCCTCTTTAATCTTTTCTAGCAGCTCGTTCACAACATCTGATGTTTCCAACCCGAGAAGTACGCTCGCACACGGAGCGGTCACTGCCAAGTGGCGGAACTTCTCAACCACATCGAAGTTACCAAGTAGCAAACTGGATGAACTACTGGATTTTCGACTCAAAGCATCAGCTAACACATTGGCCTTGCCAGGATGATACCTTAGCTCAAAGTCGTAGTCCTTTATGAACTCCATCCATCTCCTCTGCCTCATGTTCAACTCCTTTTGGTCGAACAGGTACTTCAAACTCTTGTGGTCACTGAACACCACAAACCTCAAACCAAAAAGATAATGCCTCCAAATCTTGAAAGCAAACACAATTGCAGCCAACTCCAAATCATGAGTCGGGTAGTTCTCCTCATGAGGCTTCAACTGCCTCGAAGCAAAAGCAACAGCTCTACCAGACTGCATCAGCACACAACCCAGCCCCTTTCAAGAAGCATCACAGTAAAGCTCAAACTGCTCCTCAGGATCAGGAAGGATCACCACAGGTGAAGAAGTCAATCTCTCCTTCAACTCCTGAAAGCACGCCTCACACTCGTGAGTCCACACAAATGGAGTCTCCTTTCGGGTAAGGCGAGTCAAAGGGATAACCATCGTGGAAAAACCCTTGATGAACCTCCGATAGTAACTGGCCAAACCTAAGAAGCTCCTCACCCCCGTAGCTGTCTTAGGCCTCTCCCAATCCAACACGGCCTCAATCTTGTTGGGATCCACTGCAACTCCATCTGCTGAAATCACATGCCCTAGAAACTTGACTGATTTGAGCCAAAACTCACACTTAGAAGGTTTAGCATAAAGCTTTTTCTCCTTCAGCACTTGCAGAACAATCCTCAGATGCTCCGCATGCTCCTCCTCAGTCTTGGAGTAGATCAGAATATCATCAATGAAGACAATCACGAACTGATCCAGATACGAATGGAAAATCCTGTTCATGTAATCAGTGAACACTGCCGGCGCATTTGTGAGTCCAAACGGAATCACCAAATACTCAAAATGACCGTATCTCGAACGAAACGCGATCTTCGGGACATCCTCCGGCTTCACCCGAATATGATTGTATCCGGACCGGAGATCAATCTTGGAATACACACAAGCACCCCTGAGCTGATCCAACAGATCATCAATCCGAAGAAGAGGATACTTGTTCTTGATTGTCACATTGTTCAATTGCCTGTAGTCGGTGCACAATCGCATTGTCCCGTCCTTCTTCTTCACGAAGATGACCGGTGCTCCCCAAGGAGACACACTCGGTCTAATGAAATCTTTCGCCGAAAGATCCTCAATATGCTTCTTCAGCTCAGCCAACTCCAGTGGCGACATCCGATAAGGAGCTAAAGAAATCGGCCCCACACGGGCAACAAGTCAATGGAGAACTCTATCTCCCGCTGTGGCGGAAACTCAGGAATCTCCTCAGGAAACACCTCAAGGAACTCCCCCACCACAGGAATGCCAGTGATATCCTCCTATGTCCCACTCATCAAACCACCCAACATGACATAACCCAATGCCCCTGCTCGCAGCGCTCTCCTGGCCTGCAGTAGTGAAATGTATGGCGAGGAACTAGCTGTGGAATCACACGGAGACATCACCACGCGCTTTGCACAGCAATCAATCAAAGCACAGTTTCTAGACAACCAATCCATGCCCAGAATAATCTCAAGGTTGGCCATCGGCAATCCTATCAGATCTACCGAGAACTCACGGCCATCCCACTGAAATGCTACATCGCGATGTACAGTGGTAGAATCACAAATCTCTCCGGTGGCGGTAGTCACCCGCAACGGTGGAGAAAGCACAACACTGGGCAACTCAGCCTCAAAGCAATCGGGGTAGCAACAAACGAATGAGTAGCCCAGGAATCAAAGATAGCATCCACAAAAGAATCACCAATAGACACAGTACCTCTGACAAGGTTCGGAGCGCGGTCCGACTGCTGCCTATCCAGTGTATACACTCTCCCAACAGAAGGTGGCACTGCAGGTGCCGAAGAAGATGTCATCGGAACCATCTGCAAAGGAACTTCCTGAACAGCTGCAGCTCTCGCCGTCGACGACGGACAATCTCTAGAGAAGTGGCCCTCCTTGCTACACTTGAAACATAGCAACTGCCCCGTAGCACAGCGTCCCACATGCTCTTTCCCACATCCCGAACATCCCGGAGTGGTAGGAGGCCTAGCAGAACTCCTCTGATGTGAAACAGCTCTCTTGAACTGACCAGGCGCCTGCCTAGTCGCTAACTGCTTTCCCTTGCCCTTATCAGCAAACCTCTTGTCCTTCCAAGAAGTAGGAGCAGGAATGGAACCACCTGTTCCCTTGCTCTCCTCAA